TATTTTTTTGTCAAGTTAGGAGGTTTCTGTAATACCCCCTTCCTATCTGTAGTTAAGATAAGATAACACACTTAGGAAACGCTGTTCTGTAATAGCTTTTGTCCTAAATGTGGTCCTAACTGAAATTACCATGGTTACCAAACAGATAAGATAAGATTTTAAAGTTAGGATCTTTCTGTAATACGCCCCCTCGACCACAAAAGCAGTCTTAAGTCGCTGGGGTATATTTGTAGCAATAGCCAAAAATACATTGTATGGGTCAAAATTATAGATTTTTCTTTTATGCCAAAAATCATTAGGATATTAAGTAAAGATCATGCTCCATTAAAATATTTGGTAAATTTCCTACTGTAAATATATTAAAACTTAATTTTTGATTAGTAATATGCATTGCTAAGAACTTAATTTGGACAACTTTAAAGGTGATTTTTCTCAATATTTAGATTTTTTTGCACCCTCAGATTCCAGATTTTCAAATAGTTGTATCTCGGCCAAATATTGCCCGATCCTAACAAACCATACATCAATGGAAATCTTATTTATTCAGCTTTCAGATGATGTCTAAATCTCAATTTTAAAAAATTGACCCTTATGACTGGTTTTGTGTTCCAGGGTCACATATATCTGTAATATATTACTATATGATATTTTTACATAAGTGAAGCTTCTCAAACAGAGCACCTATGAATAGTCATGAGCTACAAACGTTCCAGTTACAATCTCTATTCTGAATAAAGTATGCTTAAATCTGTCTCTTCTGTGGAACCGAAAATAACTTTTGAAGAATGTTCTGGTATATTTTTCCCGTGCTATCACAATTAATTTAAAAGCTCCAAAGTATCATGAAAAATCATCCCTTGTCAAATCAAATCATCACCTTGTGCCATGTGCATATTGTATGAATTGTTCTGTATTAATAGGTTTGTGTGAGGAAGAACTCAACATTTAAGTTGTTATCGTGAATAATCTTTCCAGCACTCTGAAACTGGATCAGTTTTTTGAATGAATTATTTAATAATTAATTATTCGGTCTTGTGAACCGGATCAGTCGATTCATTGTATAGATCAGACTCAAAAGAACAACTTGTTGAACTGAGAAGTGGAGAATCAACTGAACTGTTTCTCTGAACAGTTCTAGCTCAACTGTTTACTACTGTGCTCTTTTTAGAGCTGCTTTACAGCAGAATTGAATTTTGTTTGTATTATTGAAACACTATTTTCCCGTTTAACACTGTAAAGCTGCTTTGACACAATATGTATTGTATAAAGTGCTATATAAATAAAGATCAAAAAATCAAAAAGACCAGCACACAGACTCACATGGAACGCTTCTGTGATACTCTCCATTTGGTTCTTTTTGAAGCTTGAAAGCTCTAGTCCCCATTGTAATTGCATTGAAAAAACAACCAGCACATTCCTTACATTTTTCTTGTGTTCCATGAAAGAAATAAAGTCATGCAGGTTTAGAACAGTGAATAAATGATGACAGTTTACATTTTTGGGCAAACTATTAATTTCATGTCCAAACTCCTCTAGACTCATTCAGTAATTCTCTGAACTGAGGAGTCACTAAAACGAAATTACACTCAATTGGAAATGTAGCCATTTATACATAGCAAAGTTTATTGTGCTTTCTGTATGAATGAGGCCTTGATTTACTGCATGAAACGTCAAAAATGTGTATGTTTTGTGAATGAAACATTTTGTAAAAAAAAAAGGAAAGAAAGAAAGAAAAGAAAAGAAAGAAAGAAAAATTAAATTAAAATCGTTAAGTGAACTGATATAATATAATTCCCATGTGCTGGATAAACCACAATTATAAAATAAACTTGATTACTGCATAAGGCAAGATGTGTCAAGAAATGGTATTAATGATTCAATGTAAGACAAAATTACAATATATTAAATATCTAATGCTCTATATCAAAGTCTTTGTTTCTTCTTTATATTCTATGTATTTACATTTAATGTAACATCAAATGATACAAATATATGTACAACATACAGTTCAAATGAAGACTAAGTATTTGGACACTTGCAACGTCAGTGGATCAAACAGTTAATATAATGCACTACACTACAGTCCTTGAAGAAATCTCAGTTGTGTCTAATTGTGTCATTGTTTTAAATTTGTATCAGTTCAAATGAAGCCCTTCTGTAGCCCGAACAGTAAAGTATGGCACTGCAGCAACACCAAGGTCATGGGCATGATTCCCAGGGAAAGCAAGAACTGTATGAAACGATGTGTACCTTGAATGCAATGTTGCATTGGATAAAAGCATCTCTCAAATGCATAAATATGAATCTCTGAGACAATATTTTTCATTTCATTGTGATGATTATAGTGAAACAATCAGAGTGAAATTGATTTACAGTATGAGCGCAATGTGTTTGCTTATTCCAAACTACAGAACAAAATCAATACTTCTACAGTGTGTGGCTTAAAATTATCAACTAAATACAGTAAATGTAATTTAAAATGATAAACAAATGATAATATAAATCATTAAATGATGAACAGCTTGTAGTTTGACTGGCAGTCAAAGTTGAAGTTGGGGTCTGGGCTAAGGTCTTAACTGTTGGAAGAGGCTGCATGCACAATTTTTGTTTCAGTCGGACTGAATTAATTCTGATTGATGAATCTTAATGTAGTGTTTACATACATAACATGTTTACATGCTAAATAAAGTGATCGGGTTGATGTGCGCATTTATGTCACAAACTTCAAATCGGAATTGATTTTTTTTTTTGACATGCGCACACTGCACAAATACAGAGTTTCTCACTGTTTGCACATAATAATCAGAGGTGGAAAGAGTACGAAAATATTCTACTCGAG